TATTCAACCCAGGGAAGGTGGGTGGACCAGGAAACCGGGTGATGAGAGGTGACACATCGAAGGGCTGCCTCCAGGTCCTGATTCGCCCGCTCCGTCTGACCGTTAGTTTGTGGGTGGTAACCTGACGACAGGCTGGCCGACGCCCCCAATGCCTGGCAAAAGGCTCTCCATACCCGGGAGGAGAACTGTGGACCCCTGTCTGACACTATGTCCTGCGGAATGCCATGAAGTCTGAAGACATGCTGGATGAGCAGAGTAGCAGTCTCGAGAGCAGAAGGTAGTTTAGGCAGGGGAATGAAGTGCACAGCCTTGGAAAAACGGTCAACAATAGTTAAGATAGTGGTGTTACCTTCCGATGGAGGCAGGCCGGTGACAAAATCCACGGCGATGTGAGACCAAGGTCGGTGAGGAATGGGAAGGGGGCGAAGAAGGCCAGCGGGGGCACGGTGAGATGCCTTGCTGCGAGCGCACACGGCGCAGGCGGAGACGTACTCCCTCGTATCAGCGGACATGGAGGGCCACCAGAAGCGCTGCTGAAGAAGGGCCAGGGTCCGATGAAAACCTGGATGGCAAGCAACCTTGGAGCCATGTCCCCACTGGAGCACAGGAGATCTGGCAGACGGAGGCACGAACAGCCGGTCTGGTGGACAATCCTCGGGAGTCGGATGATCCTCTTGGGCCTCCTGGACCACCCCTTCAATCTCCCACCTGGCTGCTCCCACCACACAGGAAGATGGCAGGATGGTTTCCTCAGATGACTCCTCAACTGGAGGGGCGAACTGACGTGACAAGGCATCAGGCTTGACATTCCTGGATCCCGGCCGGTAGGTGAGCGTGAAGTTGAACCGGCCCAGGAACAGGGCCCACCGAGCCTGGCGTGAGTTGAGCCTGCGGGCGGAACGGAGGTAAGACAAGTTCTTATGATCAGTCCATACAACAAATGGGTGAGTAGCGCCCTCCAGCCAGTGCCTCCATTCTTGGAGGGCTAAAACTACCGCCAGCAGTTCTCGGTTCCCAACATCATAATTCTTTTCCGCCGGGGTGAGTCGGCGGGAGAAGAATGCGCAGGGATGCAGCTTCTGGTCCGAGGTGGAGCGCTGGGAGAGGACTGCCCCAACACCAGAGTCCGAGGCATCAACCTCTACCACAAACTGAGCTGCAGGATCAGGGTGAGACAACACAGGGGCAGAAGAAAACATGCACTTTAACTTCACAAATGCAGCTTCGGCTGCAGGTGACCACACAAAGGGAGATTTCACAGAAGTAAGTTTGGTTAGTGGAGCAGCAATTCAACTATAGTCACGGATAAACCGGCGGTAAAAATTTGCAAACCCCAGAAACCTCTGAAGTTGCTTTCTAGTTGTAGGAGTGGGCCATTCGGCCACTGCCTGAACCTTGGCAGGGTCGGTCTTGATCTGCCCTTTCTCCACCACAAAACCCAGAAAACTAACAGATGAAACATGAAATTCACACTTCTCGGCTTTAACATAGAGTCTGTTCTCTAACAATCTTTGCAGCACCAATCTAACATGCTGGACATGTTCTTGGAGAGAGCGAGAGAAAATTAAGATGTCGTCTAAATAAACAAACACAAATCTGTTGAGCATGTCACGCAGGACATCGTTAATGAGTGCCTGAAAAACTGCTGGTGCATTGGTTAATCCAAAAGGCATTACAAGGTACTCAAAATGACCCAGAGGAGTGTTAAAGGCAGTCTTCCACTCATCCCCCTCCTTTATTCTCACCAGGTGGTAGGCATTGCGGAGGTCCAACTTGGAAAAAACAGTGGCCTGGTGGAGGGGACCGAAGGCTGAGTCAATGAGTGGAAGGGGATATTTGTTTTTAACAGTTATGTCATTCAAACCTCTGAAGTCAATACAGGGGCGTAGAGTCTTGTCCTTCTTATCAACAAAGAAAAACCCCGCCCCCAACGGTGAGGAAGAGGGACGAATGATTCCAGCAGCAAGGGAGTCAGTTATGTAAGTCTCCATGGCCTCCTTTTCGGGCCTGGAGAGATTATACAGTTTGCTGGAAGGTAAGGGGGCGCCAGGGAGCAAGTCAATGCTACAGTCATAAGGCCTGTGAGGAGGTAGAGACAAGGCACGATCCTTGTTAAAAACCTCCTGGAGGTCGTGATACTCAACAGGGACAGAGGTGAGGTTAACAGGCTTGGGAGGAACTGGTGTGATGGTGGCAGTGGTGGGGATGGCTGAGTGTAAGCAATGTGAGTGACAAAACAGACTCCAATTGGTGATGGATGAGGTAGACCAATCTATGTGTGGATTGTGTAACTTAAGCCAAGGGAGACCTAACACTAGCGGGTAAGTGGGCGATGAAATGATGTAGAGTGAAAGAGTCTCGTGATGATTACCAGAAAGTAGCAGTGAAACTGGGGCAGTACGGTGAGTGACACGGGCGAGAAGCTTTCCATCGAGGGAAAAAACGTCCTTGGGTTCAGGAAGGGGCTCTGTGGGTAAGTCAGACTGCAGAACAAAATCAAAGTCAATAAAACTGTCATCAGCACCAGAATCAACCAAGACTTGGAGAGGTAGAGAAACTTGTGACCATGACACAGTACCCTTAAGCTGAATGCGATTGGAGGGGGGAGAAACGACAGATGCATTGCTCACCAGCGCCCCCCCTGTGGCTGATGAGCCTGTTCTTTTGGCAGAGCGGGACAGTTGGCTAGGATGTGGCCAGCCTGGCCACAGTAAATGCAGAGCCTCTGGTGGAAACGGCGTTGACGCTCTGCAGGGGTGAGCCTCATCCTCCCCAGCTGCATGGGCTCCTCGCTGCTGTGAGGTGATGAGACCGTAGGCGGAGAAACACTGCAGGAAGGTGGCTCCAGAGACGCAGATGGTGCCGGCTGCCGGGGAGACTTGGGCTTCGAGAGGGGAAAAGGGAAACTCTGCCTGCCTGTTCTCTCCCTACGTCTCTCACGGAGGCGGTTATCTAAGCGAATGGCCAAAGAAATTAACTCTTCTAAGGAGGAGGTTTCATCCCGAGCAGCTAGCTCATCCTTTAACTCCTCACTTAAGCCACGAAGGAACACCCCTTGTAAGGCTTTCTCATCCCACCCGCTCTCAGCTGCAAGAATGCGGAAATCAATGGAGTAACTAGCAACAGAATCTGAGCCCTGACGTAAAGAAAGAAGCCGGTTACTGGCCTCCCTACCCTGTAGCGGATGGTCAAAAACTCTCAGCATCTCAGCAGTAAGTGACTGAAAAGACTGACTAATGGGTGAGTTACTGTTAGCCATAGCCACCGCCCAAGCTGATGCCTTCTCAATTAACAAGCTCATAATAAAAGCAATCTTAGATTTATCAGTAGAATACGTTAATGGCTGCTGATCAAACACAAGAGAACACTGGTGAAGGAACTGACAGCATGACCCTAACTCTCCTGAATACCTGACAGGTGTGGGGATGAAGGGTTCACGTGGGTGGCTGGGCTGGATGTCTGGAGGAGCTGGGGGAGCTGGGGGAGCTGGAGCTGTCAGTGTGGTGAGATGAGTGGAGACTTGGTCCATACGGCCGCCAAGCTGAGTCACACTGGTGGTAAGGTTGCGAAGAGTGTCCACAATCTCCTGTAGGGCTTGTTCGTGCTGCCCTACAAGGGCTCCTTGAGAGGATATTGCCTGCTTGATCCTCTCAATATCTGCGGGGTCCATGGTGGCCAGATAATTCTGTTAGGTACAGGTTTTGTTTGGACCCCAAAGCAGATACTGATGCAGGTCAGTCACAAAAAAGGTTTATTAACAATAAGAAAAAACAAGAGCAGGCGGTGGAGGCAGGGAGCTGGCTGGCTCGTAGAATATTCACCGAAGGATGGATTGAAAAAACTCAGGCACACGGTGAGGCACAAAGAACGACCTGAGTACAACAGGGAAAAAACCACAAGAAAGTACAAAAACCTCTAGCAACACTAGAAGAATAGGCAGCAAGATACGGCTATGCAGCAAGTTGAGCACAAGATACAAAATGTAAGAAGACAGAGCTCTACCGAACATGACGGAATTATCTGGCAGCGTAGTGGAGTGAAGACCAGGCTTTTGTAGACAGGAAGATGAAGTGATTGAAGACAGGTGTGCCTCATCTGCTGCTGCAGGAGAAGCCAGCCACGCCCCCTGACACACACATGCACTGCAGAACAGAAGAAAGGGGGAGGGAGAGAGAGAACAAACACAAAAACATACCACAGGAACCCAAATCATCACAATTTCTCCCCAATTACAGATCATATTCCAGCTTGAGCATGTTTCGTTGTGAAGTGATTTTTCATGTTACAGTATTTTGGCAGCTGCAATCATGGTATAGAGATGCAAAGAACCCGGAAACGCTGACGAATCAGAGCAGGCTGTTTTTTGTTTGTTTGTTTGTTTGTTTTGTTTTGTTTTTTCCATGAGTGGGGCTTAAAGAGACAGGTGCTGAAACTGAGACTGTGAACTGTGAATACAGGTGTTCCAGCACAGACCGCATGAGGAAAATTATTTTCTTTTTTTACCAAAAAAGCATGTAAACGGATTCTTGTAGAAACTCAAAATACAAGTATGAGCCAGAAAATTGACATAGATAGGGCCTGTTAATGTCAGATTTTCATTAGACCCTCCATTCCTTGCATAGACCCCCTTGTCTTTAAAATTCTACACTCAGTTTGTAATGCAGGCTGTTTATTAAAAATTTGTTGTCCTCTGGAGCCCCAGACATTATGTCCTATATATTATGTAGGAGACTTATAGATAGTTGCTGTTACAGAGCCAAGTTGTAGTGTCAGCTACAACACATCTTGGTAACACTTTCTCTCCGCGGAGTGTCACAAGGCTGTTAACTTTGCACCTTCAAATGGTGTTGAACCTCAAAAAACTGCTCACTAATAGTATTGAAAAATGTACAAAAAGTACAGAATCTGGCATATCACACATAAACAAAGTCTAGAGAGAGTTGATAATGACATAACAGGACATGATGATAATCTGCTGCTGTCGGTGTCCTCATCTGCAGGTGTGGTGCGAGCCTCCAGCATCTTCCCCATCCTCAGCGCCATACTGCTCCTGCTGGGTGGAGTGTGTGTCGCTTCCAGCGGCTTCTACAAGAGCAAAAGGAACATCATTCTTGGTGGAGGGATTCTATTTGTAGCTGCAGGTAAGACTGCGGTTTTGACAGAGGCCTCTGTTCTTTCGCTTATAGCTTGGAGATAAAGTTTCCCATGGGTGTTCTTACATTTAAGAGTAAATATGGGTTTAAATTTTGTTTTCAGCTCTGGTTAGACTACCTTTAGTTCATGCCTTTGTTCTCACACTCTGTCTTATTCCACCAAGAAATGAAATTAAACTGTGCTATTTGACATTCTGATGTTTTAGATCTATCAGTCTAATGCAGGCGTAATAAGAAGCTCTTGTGGATGATCTGCAGATTGATTTTCTTCTCTGTGTAACTGAAAGGAAACAGTTCCAGTATCCCTGCAAGGAAAACAATTTAATGAATCTGCAGGTTAATGTGTCTCAGGGGAGCACTTACAGTAGAAGTCTTGTATATTTCCTCAGGCCTCAGCAACATCATTGGAGTGATTGTGTACATCTCGGCAGCACTGAGCGACATCTCCCCCAAGAAAGATGAGGACAAGAAGTGGCACTACTCTTACGGCTGGTCCTTCTACTTTGGCGGCCTGTCCTTCATCCTGGCCGAGATGGTGGGTGTCCTCGCTGTCAACATCTACATAGAGAAGAACAAGGAGCTGCGCTGCCGCTCACGCACCGACCTCTTCAAGAGCACCACACACGCCATGCTGCGGCTGCCCAGCTACCGCTTCAGACGGCGCTCCCGTTCCAGCTCACGCTCAACCGACCCGCCACGCTCACAGGAGACCTCGCCCATCGGCACCTCCAAGACCTTCAGCCTGCCGCCCTCTGCCCCACCCTTTTCTGTGGCCACTCTGCCCAACCCACACCACACCAGCAGCGGTGGAAGTGGAGGAGGTGGTGACATCTCCATGTACACCCTGTCGAGGGACTCCAAGCTGGGGAGCCTGGGAGGAGGCGCCCCACCTCTCTACGGCACTGTGGACCGCGCTACCTTGTACCAGCTTCACAACTACTTCCCTAAAGATTCCAGCGGCAGTGGAGGAGGAGGAGGATCAGGATCAGGAGGAGGAGGAGCCGTGATAAGCAGTGGCACACTCCCATCTCACTCCAAGTCCAACTTGGCAGCAGCAGCGGCTGTCGCCCAGAACGCAGCACCGCTGAATACCTCCACATCAGCCGCCTCAACAGCTCAGACGGCTCCGATATCCACAGCCACCATGGAGAGGGACAGGGGCAACATGGGAACCCTGGACCGACTGACAGCCAAAAGGGACAGGGATAGCAACTCAGATACACTTAACAGGAAAACTACGCCAGTTTAAAACTAAACCTCGGATAAGAGGGAGAGAGCGTTGAAATGAAAGAGATGTTAGAGATATCTGAGTTGACAGAGAGGAAGAGTAGGGCTGAAAATGTGTGGGTGACACTTCAGCGGTAATGTTTCTGTCCTTGAGCCTGGGGTATCTAGCTGCCATAATTAATTACCAATATCATTAACAGTCATAGAGCACCTGATATGATGTGCAAATTCATGACAACTGCCTTAAAATGGTCATGACTTTAGCATCAATGCCTTGTTTGTAAGTTAATTATACAGCAGTGGTGCAGTGGAGGCCTCAGTACAAAGAAATTGTTTTGTCATTGTTGTACAAAATCACACACACAACTGGGGGCTTCCCAGTACAACCAGTCTCCTGGTGCAGTAGTTGGGGGTTAAGTGCCTTGCTGAGGAGGCAGGAGAGCTCAGTAGTTACTCACTCTCCCCCTCTACATTCTGTCAGCTGCTGTGGGGGTTTAAACTACAACTTCACTTTAACAAGAAAAATGTTAAAAGAATACCTCACCCCCAAATGATCATTTGTATATCATTTACTCACCCTGTGTTACATTGAATTTGTGAAGAAAACTTCTTTTTCCCCTGCATTTCTCCACAGCAAACAAAGAATCCAGAAACGAAGAACATCCCTGTTGAATCTAAGTAATAGGGGTCCAGGTATAGCAACAGCAAAACTATATCAAAACATCAGTTTACAAACTCAAACACAACTTGTGAAGTATAATCCAAAGCCCCTTTCCCACTTGCCAAAACAAAACCACTAACACTAAAATCTGGCTTATATTTGCTTTTCACTCCCAGGACAAATGACTCTGCAGCAGTCACAGTATTTATGAGCTCCAGCTAATGACAAGCCACCACAAAATACTGTTCATGTCCCAGCAGCGCTCAAACATCATTTTAAAATAGCCAGCACCAAGTTCTTTACTGGCCTCTAAACTGCTTTCTACCGTTTACTAACCCTGTTTATCTTGACGTGAAACATGCCACACGAGCATAGGTGCAGATTTCAGAGGGGACATGCCCCCCTTAATATTTAGGACATGTGCATTTGTACCCCTCCATAAAAAGCAGATGACTTTTATTTTGACAAAATAAAAGACATTTACATCATAAATTGCAGAAAGGGCATGAATTCAAAAAATGAAACTTCACCAGAACGCAGGAAATTAAGAATTTGATGTTACAAAATTTTCTGGCAGAGGACTCCTAAACCCTCTGGTACAAGTCTCATTCATCCACTCATATACTCAGTACTTCCCAAACAGATAGCCCTTTCCAACAGGCAACTGAACCAAAAGTAAAATGTATCTGTGCTCTCCTCAAAGCCAGACTCCAATTGACAAAACAGTAAGTTCAACTTGCTAAACACTCGAGATGCTGGTTTAACACTGTCTCGATCTCAAAAGTGTTAAAAGAGACATGGATTATACTCCACGAGGAGCATGAGACTTTGTACATGGATGTTTTGATATTGTTTTGCTGTTGTTAAACCTGGACCCCTATGACTTCAATTCATCAAGAATTCTCTCAGTTGTTGGATTCTTTCTTTCACTGTGGAGGCATGCGAGAAAAAAAAGTTATATTCATGAATTTGTTGTGACACAGGGTCAGTAATTCAAAATAAAAATGGTCATTTGAGGGAGAACTATTCCTTTAATATGCTTTGATTTTGTGATTTGTAAGTCACAAGACTTATTTATTCTCCTAACTGAATCTGGTTAAAAAGTGAACATTTTCACACATCTTCACATGAAGTTTGAACTTAAGCACTGAGGCATCTTTTCACCTGCAAACCACCACACCAGTACTTTCTGGTATTCAAAAACACTTTAAAGCATCATAAGTAATATGATTAATAAAGTGGCCAGATGGTGTAACTACAATTCTCTGTTTTAAGAAGAACAGAGAGCCACAGACGGGTACATTCAGCCAAGTAACAAGCTGCTCAGTGATGAGTTGACTGCCAATTCAAGGTCAACAGTAGCTACTTAACCTCTGGTCCCAAGAGAGTGACCTCAGCCATATCTATCCTACTGACACACACACACACCAGATGAGGCTGACACACTGTGAGCCTATTTATTTTTCATTGTGTGTCAAAGGTAATAGCAGTGACAGATGGGCATTCTCCACACTCCTAGAGAAAGGCACAGCCATAGACTTCAAGCTTCACTCTGTACGCCTCCGTTACACCACTGCCAGTTGTCACAGTCTGGTCAAATACTGCAACAAATGTCCATCTAAACAAGTAACTTCATCTGACTTTAAATTCCTTGAGTCTTTGTTCTAACGTGTGAGATATTTGCTGAGTTCTGGCCAAATGGAAAAAGACTGCTCCTCTTGTTTCAAGATAATGTCCCATATTTCCTGTTTCAATTCCAGTTTTGGCCCTGAGTAAATCTCCCCTCTTGTGCAAAAAATAGCAACATTAAGAGGTTTTTGAAACATTTACAGTGGCTTGTAATGGACACGAATATGAGAGTGGCTACTGTTTAAATTTTAGATAAAGGGCCCCAGTCAATGTTGGGTGGTTGGTGAGTGTCTGTCGCCCTAGTTTTGTCAGTGTGCCCCACACCTTTGGCAGTAGTCAGCCCCTGATGACTTTTTTTTGAGTGAGTCAGCATGTTGAGTCGGCATCAAAGATGGCAGAGATAATCGCTGAGAGAAATCACTTGATAGTTCAGCTCAGTGAACGAGAAGAGAAACAGCAAAACAATAGCTAAAGTCAAGAGGGTGTGAGACCAAAACAAATGTGTTTTATGAGCTTAGATCAAGTTTTTAGCCATTAATTTATTTAGCAGTAACAGTTCATGCTTGTTTGTGTTATTGTTCGGTAGCGTACGGTAAATACTCGTTGTTCTTTCAACACTAAGTTGCTTTGTTAATGGGCTAACTGGCTAACTAGCATCTTAAATCCATCCTGTCTGTATCCCGGTTTCCTTTTTCAAATGACAGATACACACTACCGCCACCTTTTGGTGTGGAGTTATTTTCTCTCACACAAGTGCAGAACAAAAATGCAAGCTGGCCATTGGCTGTAGTCTTTGCGGTGTGTTCAAGTGCAACTTTTTAACCAAGACACATGTGATGCGATGTGAGGTGACGCAACAGTTGGACTTTATCACTACTAGTTAATTGATGTCGGCTTGGTGTAGCTGGTCCTTAACAGCTCTAATTAGAGCACAGCTTCAACAGAAATGCCTTGCAAACAGTTAAAAAATAATATTGCAAGCTTGAAAACTACATTTGCTGCGAAGTCAGTCACTCGTAAATTGCACTAACCCTCATTTGCAAGCAAGTAAAAATGCCAATAGTTAAGCTTTCCTTTGGGAAAATGATTTCACTGGTATTGATAGACCGCACTTTACAATTGCTGCTGATGAATTATGGTCATTTTGTGTCATCAGACAGTAAAAATGTAGTTAAATGCACCTTTAAAGTCGATGGAAGCACTTGAAAAGATGGACTTTTTTTGTACCCTTATGTGATGTTTAATTGCCAAAATTGATTCCAGGGATTTTATGACTGTTGATGAAGATGTTCTGATACCGGAGGCTACAAGGCAGCATACGTTGAGTGTTCCTGCAAAGGGCTGCAACCACAGGCAACAGGGTGGGGGTCAATTCAGTTTACACTCAGGGGGTGAAGTTTTAAATAGAACTTAGATCAAAAGTTAAACATTTTAATCGTGTTACTCCAATATGAGATATCAACAATTTTAACAAATAAAGTTCCAGACTTAGTCTTAAAATGTACTACAAAAGTAAAGCACATCATAAGTTGTGAATTATATCATTAGAATTTCTAACAATCATATCTCCAGTGCTGTAACATTTTTGAGGCCAAGATTTCAAGGACATAAAAGAAATTGTGTAATGGATGTACTTTGTAACATTTTGGACTGAAACCACTCACATGTCCAAAATCTGACTATTGCTGAACTTTAAATGCACTCCTGGATCAGCTTCGATTGCAAAATGAATTCAACCCAACCCTGGTTGACGACAAGTCGGAGGAGGAGGGAAAGAGAAAAGAGCACAGCAGCTAGCTTCGGTTCCCCTTCCCTCCGTCTCTCTTTTAGCTATAACTATATACTATTTCACAAACTAGAATAATAAATGTATTATTGAGTATATTATCGATCCATTGACGTCAACAAAAGCACATAATGTCTGTAAATGGTAATCTTTGGGTTGTCTTTTCATTCTGAGTGACTGATTATCATCTCTAGGTTACATGAGATTGTAACTCCTTGAGTATTAATATCATGTTGCTGGTGTTTCTATGATCGTAATGGTTATTGCAGGGTATTTATACACTTTGAAATCTTTTTCTTTTTGTATTTTTTTTATATTCATTTCAAGGACTTTTAAATTTTCTTTCTCTTGCTTATGTACACTTACGTCAGTGGTGTCACGTGGAAAGCATGTGCACAAACATAAGAGGGTGTGTAATGTGTAAGTTCATCTCTAGATCGTTTTCATGATTTCATTACATTTGTTTGTACAGGGAGAGTTGACTGAGCGTGCATGCTCTTTTTCAGCAACACCCTGCCTCACCTTTACTCACACATTTACACTGGCACCTACCCAGTAAAACCAGTTTGCGACTGGTTACTGAGCAGCTCTCCTGGAATAAATGGGGGCTACGTGCCTTGCTCATGGGCATATTGATAGTGTTGGTCACTTTATTTCCTCCATCTTGGTTGCTCACTCAAAATGTTGTGTACATTATTTTTACTGTGAATTTTATTTTTGTGCTGTTTTTCATTTTTTTATGTTTGAATAATTATTCTCTTTTTTTTAGAATCTTTTCTTTTTTCTCGAACTGATTAATTTATTTAAATATTTTTCTCTTTCCCAACTGCTATTTTTTTAATCTTCTCCATTTCTGTTTGTTAATTTGTCAGTTTCCTTTTTTTCAATTTATTTTTTTCACTGTTGTTGCCCCCTGATTTTATACATTTATATAGGTATATAAAATCAGGGGGCTATATATTTATTTTATATACATATATATATAAATTTTTTGATTTTTTTTTTCCAGTCTCTTTTCATTTTGTCTTCAGTTCCTTGCAGGCTATTGATTTTTTTTTTCTTCTAAACATTACCAACGTAGCCTAATAATCAGTGTTTTTTAATGTTCCCACTAGTGTATTACTGTTGCCGATAGAATTTATATTAATCTATTTATTTTCGTGGTGGTATGTATAGATATTCTTAGTGTTATATTGTTTCCTACACCTGTAACTTTGGGCTATAATGGCTTTATGCCTGCCTGTGATGTATTGTCAGTAGCCTGAGTGCTGGGAGAGTGGGCTAAATGTGGTCTGTGTTGGTGTTGTCAGTGGTTTAAACATTGTAAACAATAGGTACAAGAAATATAAATTATGTGAATTGTTATAAAATCACTAAATGAACACTGACACTTGTCTTAAACTTATATTTTAACTTTTATAAAGTGTTTGTGAGAACGTGGTCGACAGCGGGCGTTTTGTTCCTTCATTTTTAGTTCATATCCTGATGTAAAAGCCATTTTAAAGCCAGCATGAGTCACCAGCTCCTTTTCCCAACACTTTGGCTACTGACAGGAGTCAGACCTGAAACTCTTCTGGTATATTTCCACTCAGCAGACCAATACATGTAAAGGACAATAAGGAAAAGGGGAAGCAATACAATATACTTATCCTCGCTGGAAAAGACAAAAAAAAGGTATATATACATAAATATATAAATATATAGATATATTCATTAAAGTTCTATATGAAAATTGGGTTGTGTCATGTGAATTATTGAGTATTGTATCGATGCACCAACAACTGCAAAAACTGCAGTTCCCCTTATGGCCACTTGAGGCTGGCTCCAAAAGTCCCAATAGACCCTTTTAGGGATGATGTCACAATGATGTCATTTAATTAGCTGGAGGCAAAACACAACTCTCCACCACAGGGCTGTAGGCAACATAGGAGTCTTAAAATGTTGCCTTGTTGTGTTATTGGGAGCCAGAATAGAAGGAGTCAAGGCCTTAAAGCTTAAATTGTATTGCATACCAGCTGCCACTGCCTGTGATAATGTTAACATGTATTAAGGGTTATCATGTCCACCTCATCAGAAATTGGGGAGGTCTTAAGAGGAATATTAGAATTAGAAAAAGATCATTTTCATAGCTAAGAAAGTATAGAGGTGGAATAATGTCTGTGGCTAAGAAGGTCATTATTGTAATTTCTGTGATCTCTTTTGTATGTGCCCAAGATTACATGCACAGTACAGTAAAAAAAAAAAAAAAACAGCCCAGTCACCAGAAAGAAATGCTGGTATTGTACCTTTATGCAGACCATGAATATGTTACTTTGCAATTTGCATATCTATTATAATGTTTCCTAAGTGATGTAGTATGAGCTGGCTTTGTCATCGGAAGGTGAAAGAGATGGTGGATGGAGTGTCCTAAGCGATGATCATGAAAGTTACTCAGTGGCACATGAAGCCAAAAAACCTTGATTTCCCTGCTATAAAATCAACTGGATGTGCCACACTGTGGGTAGTGATGGCCAAATGAAGCCTCATGAAGCTTTTTCTTCATTTTATGAGCCCCCTAGATGGCACTTTTTCTTCAACAAAAAGTTGAAAGCACACTGAATTGCCATTCTTTGAGTCTCTCTCTTTAAACCAAGAGCGCCATCTAGTGGGTTCATAAAATAAAGAAATTGCTTCATAAGGCTTCATTTGGCCATCACTATGTGGGGCCCATAAAGCAGGTGCACTAGAGACTTAAGCTAGCCAAGCGACTAAATTCTGGTTTAGCGCTTGGCTACCTTGAACGGGGATTAAAATTATTAAATCGTGTAGTTCTTCTAGACTTAAGAAATCTTATCGTACTGAATGAAAAAAATTCTTCGTGGGGACAGTGGCGCTCAAAGAATATCCACTGATTGACAAACACCTTTTCACAATGTATGTTTATGGGAAACACTCTCATACTTATACTTGTACGACACATTGACAGTGACAAGCAAGAAGTTGAGGAAGAATTGTCATGAGATTTGGTCAAACCCGTTGGGATACAGCTGGCTGATGTTCACCAGTGCATCAGAATGTGCTGCTCAGCTCTTCCAAAAAGCTTGAAATTGATCACATTTGCAATCTTGATCATCGCATCCAGGCACCAGTACCTTTGTCCTTTTGGTGCATCTGGTGTTTGTTAAATGATTCAGTGTCACTTCTACCACTGCTACTGACAGACATTATTCACACAAATGCAAGAAGTTGAAAAACACACAAATATAGGTGTCATTTTAAGCATTTGAACAAATAACCAATGCCTCTCTTATTCTAGATAGAAATCGGACCTAAAAAAGGAAACAGTGCAGACTGTGTCAGGCAGTAATTAAGACTGTGCGGTCTCTTAATAATGCTGAGACGTCTTCTCCAGAGGAAAAACACAGGGAGGGACTGTCAGCCCAGGGGAAATGTGACAATTTTTAATCCCGCTGACAATAGATTTGCTGGCGGAGCACAGTGGAGACAGAGATGTGTTTGGTTGAAGCAGCGAGGAATATGATTTGGTGTCAAAGTTTTAATTAGTTGGCCTCTCTGTCTGGAATCCTCCTGACGCTACAGTGCCGTCTCCATGTCTTTGTGCAGCAGGAACAGGCACAGCAGCTCTGCACTGGCTGCTTTGACAAAGAGAATGGTTGTCTCTGCATTCTTGCATAATCTCAGTAACCATGCAAAGACACAAAAACTCTAATATTTCTGACTGCACTGACTGTCATTTTCTTATGCACACCTGCTTATTCTGCTCAGTGCAGCCACTGTGTTTCACTACTGAGCTGAAACAGAATATTTCTTTATACAGAGTCGCAGTTCAGATACTAATAAGTGAACATAATGTCATAAAGGTGTAGATCATCAGCACCGGGCGCAACATCAGTGGTTTCTGACTGGTAAAGCTATTTTGAGAAGAATTAGTGCGTCAGAGATTTAATCTGTACTCGTGAGTCGTGGGGCTTTGTCGACTCAGCAATTCTGATTCAGAGTCCCTTCAGTGTAATACAAGGTAATTAAAAGAAGAATGAAGGTGGCTGAGGCTAAACTGTACTGTTAAGCATGTGGTAAGGGTTAAGGCTAGGTGTAGTAACCATTAGCTGTGCCCTCATTAAGAAGCTAGTTTGAGAAACTGTTAAAGGTAATTAAATTCTGGAAGCTACCTGTTGTGTCCAGATTAACCATAACATCTGAGGTGAGAGAAATATAACTGTCTTGTACTAAGGAGTAAACGTAGGATAAAACATTATGATACTGTCAAACCATTAAGGCTCAGTGTTGTTCGTCACCTCACAGCATAGGTGGTTTTGGACCGGAGAGTTTTTCATAGTTCCACACATAAAAATACTGGGTGAATTTTGACCCAATTTGGGTCAAACGAGGAACCCAGTACTGGGTCAAACTAGCACCGACCAAAATAACCAAGTACCCTTGGGTATAAAACCACTGGGTCACCAATCATACCCAAAGCACTGGGTTAGGACCCAGTACTGGGTCTAAGTAACCTAGCACCTGTACCTTGGGTTATTTTGACCCAGTTTAAGTATTCTTTGTATTATCTCTATTAGGTTGTTCAGCCATACCAAGATGTGGTTATTTTGGCCCAGTAACAATAGGTTTGTTCGAGATGAGCCAGGCCTGCGCAGATTTGATCACCGGCGATCGGCGCACAATGCATGCCGGTTAGTTTTGTGCCTGACTTCATCCCGACTTGCTCTGACGTATTACAAAAGTGGACGGCGATAAAACCGCGAGAGCGAGGCGGCCGCAGTTTTTAGAGCCAGGCGCTGCAGTTGCTCTCCACTGACTGCACTGCTTGGGCCTCACTTGATTTGATGATTTTAATAAATTAATCTATCATAATTAAAACAACTGGAGACTGAAAACAAACTGATATATGGGTCTGATCACTTTTTTAATGAACTCACATCATTCCAGACAGGATGTTAGTGTGTCTGTGATTTCCTGTACGGACTGAAGGCTGCTGGAAACTGTCGGGAAACTGTCCGACTTCACCGCAGCTTTTTGTCACTGCCCCCTGCTGCGGCTGCCTGCTCTCATCTACTTTTCAGGCGAGGCGCAGTTCATCTTGAACGAGCCTGTTGTCATATTTACGTTGCTGTTGGTCAATATCAAACCAAAAAAGGTGGTTTCTTTTACCCAGAGAGTGTTCTGTAGTCAATGGAAAATGCATTCAGTATTGTAAAGTCACTGTAGATTTATTTAAAATATAACATAATAATAATATAACATTAAAAGGGCATATTAAAAACATATTTCACTTATAATGACTAATCAATTTTGGAAGTCTCCATCAAATATAAAAAAAATATACAAGGACATGCAATATAAATTACTAAACCTAACTGTTTTGAAATCTGTCAAATAGTACAGTACATACTACAGAGTTGGTGTGCCTAATACATACTTCTAAAGTGTTTAAACTTCTACTGTCTGACTACCATCACATGTCTAACAACAGCAGAAATTACGTCAAAAGTAAGAAATTGAACCTCTGAATACGAAGGACAGAGAATAATATACAAACAGTCTTTTCCATCTGAGGGAGCTGAACTTAAAGTGGTTTTCTGGTTCTATCATCACAACCCATCTGAGAACTAAGG